AGGCCCACTTAGGGTATCCACAAGCCTTAAGGGAGTTCTGGATGTGTAATTTTTCTTTCTTGGCCCCTTCTGCCGTTGTGGGCACTTCCTCTGCCCTGTGATTCAAAGTTCTGATGACTCCCAGTTTGTGTTGAAGTGGGTGGTGTGAGTCAAAAAGCAGGTATTGGTCCGTGTGTGTAGGTTTCCAATATATTTCTACTTTCAGGCTCCTGTCCCCTCCCAAGTGGACTGCACAATCCAGAAAGGCCAGGCAGTCATCCCTGGCATCCTCACGAGTGAAATTGATGTTGTCATCCACCGAGTTGATATGCTTGGTGAAAGCTTCCACCTCCTGGGTCCTGATTTTAACCCATGTGTCATCCACGTAGCGGAACCTTCTTTAAGGCTCAGTTTGGACTGCGGCTCTAAAGGTTTGCATTTCACTGACAGAGTGACCAGTACTGGAGTGCACGGAGAAACTGAACAGTAATGGGAATGCAGATAAATACAGCCAAGCCTGCTGTGAGGAAATGAAATCTTTGTGCTTGATCTAAAAATAGCAACTGGATTAGTTCTACTTCTTTTTACTGTCAACCATTTCACTGATTGTCATAGTGTGCAGTTTCTCTTGAGGACACCCAGGGTTAAAAATATTTAATTTCTGTTTGCTCCAGATCACAGTAACTTTTTAAACTGATACATACAGTATAACTGCATTTCTTGTCTATTTAGAACAGACTGTTCACCACTCCAAAACAGGGCTACTTGACAAGACAAGCTCAGGAACATCACGTTCTCAGCTCTCAGCAGACATACGCTTCCACGTCTCTCACCATCTGGGGGTCGTTGGATCGGCTGACCCAGCCCGAGATCAGTTTCAGCGTTTCTCGTTTCACTGTTCTCATACTCCGGATCAATGGCTGTTTTGTTACCATCTCACCTGCAATGGAAAAGGAAGAGGCAGATTAATGCACTGTATGAAGAAGAAACTATGCTGAGATTTTTGTCTAGTCAGAATTGTATTCAGCTCTATGTTCATGTGCAGTTGAAAGGAACCCAGTCCTGGCTGAGTTTTGTGACATGCACCATGCACCAAACCAACATTAACTAGTTCTGCAGCATGGAGCATGTTTACAAGTCTGGATTTCCTCTTGGTTGATGAACATTTTAGTCTGGTAAATCTGCTTCCCAGTGAGATGTTAGAAACACGTCTAAGCAGGACTACGCAATATGACCAAATATACTGCGAGATGACAGATGTGTCAGCTGTAGAGACTTGGCCAGACCATTTCTAATGGTTGTATTAGGTACCCTCCCTTTAAACACCAGATCACCACTTCTGTGTATGCAGATTTCTAGGTACTTTATTTTTATTATTATTTTCCTAATGCACATTCCTTTTTCTTGTTTCCACTTTTTTTTCTTCTTCCAGCCTTATCTTGTCTACTTGTTGCTTTATGGAAGAACATTTTACATACACATACACTGTAACAGAGTCAAATTCCTCATGTGTCCAACACACACGACCAATAAAGCCAATTCTGTTCTGGGTTAGGCTACTGCAACATTTATGCAGTGACATGCAGTGTAGCAATTCAATGAACAGGGCTGCTTTATGGTATTACTGGCTTTACAGAATTTATACATTTCTGTAAAGAAGTACCTCCGTTTGCCAGGTACAGTCATGACCAAGAATATTGGTACCCATGCATGTCTGTCAGATAAGGCACCACTTCTTCCAGAAAATTGTTGCAGTCACAAATTCTTTGGTATTCTCATGTTTATTTCCTCTGTTTGCATTGGAACAACACAAATAGCAGAGAAAGAAGCCAAACCTCATACATTCCACACAGAACTCCAAAAGTGGACAGGACAGAATTATTGACACCTTTTCAAAATCATCATAAATAGTTGTATTTCAAGCCCGTGATGCTCCTTTAATTTGTAATGAAACTCACCTGTAGCAATCGGCAGGTGTTGGCAATATAGAAATCACACTGGCAACCAGTTAAAATGGAGAAAAGTTGACTCAACCTTTGTGTTGTGTGGCCCACATGGAGCTTGGAGAAAAGAAAGAAGAGCAAAGAACTGTCTGAGGATTTGAGAACCACAATGGTGGAAAAGCATGGACACCTCCATAAGACCAAGTGGGACATTTCTGGCAGTTCTCTGCTACTTCAGTTTGCTGTGTGATTCATTTATTTATTTACTATTGTTTTGTGCAGTAAAATGACTTCACTGACTGAAGACGTAGCGCCATGGTGTGCATCATGACTGTCCTGGCAGTCATTACCAGTCACTGCTCCACAGTACAAACTCCAGCCAGTATAAACAGAAGTTGACATTTTGGAGACATTTAAATCAAACTAGTCACAGGAACTGTACTTAAAAGGTTTTTTAAAGATCTGAGGAAGGGTTACAAGTCCATCTCCAGAGATCTGGCTGTTCCTGTGTCCACTGTGCACAACACTGTCAAGACGTTTACAGCCCATGGCGCTGTAGTTAATCTCCCTGGATGTGGGCCAAAGAGAAAAATAGATGACAGATTGCAATGAAGGATTGTTTGAATGGTGGATAAAGAACCTCGACTTCCAAACAAATTCAAGCTGACCTGCAGGCAGAGGGTGCAACAGTGTCAGCTCGCACTATCCGTCATCATCTGAATGACAAGGGATGCTATGGTAGGAGACCCAGGGGGCCCCGCTGCTAACACAGAAACATAAAAATCCAGATTGGAGTTTGCCAAAACTTAACTGAGGAAGCCACAATCCTTCTGGGAGAATGTCCTGTGGAAAGATGAGACTAAAATAGAGCTTTTTGGTCGAGCACATCATTCTACTGTTTTCAGAATCCAGAACTAAATGAGGCCTTCAAAGAAAAGAACATGGTCCCTACAGTCAAACACGGTGGCGGTTCACTGATGTTTTGGGTTTGCTTTGCTGCTTTAGGCACTGGATGTCTTGACTGTGTGTATGGCATTATGAAATCTGAAGACTGCCAATAAATTCTGGGGCACAGTGTCATAAAGTTGGGTCTCTGTCAGTGTTCATGGATCTTACAGCAGGACCCAAAGCAGACTTTGAAAAGCACAAGAAATGGTTTCAGACACTGTGCTGGAGAGTTCTGAAGTGGCCAGCAATGAGTCCAGAGCTAAATCCCATAGAGCTCCTGTGGATAAATCTCAAAACAGCAGCTGGGAGAAGGAACCCTTCAAATCTGAGACCTGGAGCAGTTGGCAAAAGAGGAGTGGTCCAGAACTCCACTAGAGCGGTGGAAGAAACTCACTGATGGCTACAGGAAGTGACTGATTTCAGTTATTTTCTCCAAAGGGTGTGCTACCAAATATTAAGTTGAGGGTGTCGGTAATTCTGTCCAGTCCATGTTTGGAGTTGTATGTGGAATGTACCAGATTTGGCTTTTTCTCTCTGCTTTTTTTGTGTTGTTCCAATGCAAACAAAAGAAATAAACATGAGAATACAAAAGAAATTGGCAGGGGTGCCACAACACATATCCCCATCACAACTGACACTACACACAGAATAACAGTTGATTTACTCCATGTTGCCCACCCCCTACAGGTACAGCTGCATTATCAGGTGCCTGAGTTCCAATCACAAGCAAATTTTTTAAGCCACTCATCCATCTGCACCATATCACTCTCTCTCTCATGCCTTTGTCCTGATTCTACAAACAAATACAAAGTCGAGCTGCCCAACAGTATCCTCAAAAAGGTTTGGTTAAATTTTTGAATGAGATCGTTTCCTCCACAGTCTGACAAAATACTAACATGTTACTGCACTGACATACATGCTGTAAGTAAAAGCTATACAAGAGCAAATATAGTTTGTGTTAGTGAGTGTAGCTTGATCTTTCATCCCCCTTTCCACACTAACAGATGGCACTGAAAAAACATGAACATTTTGAAACCTGGCAACATTCTGAAACATTAAGGACTGCATGCCTAAACAACAACAATGAAGCAACAGTTTCTGTACACATCTGTATACTTGTTTAACAACCCAAAGTCCTTCGAAATGCACATCACAGAAGAGCAAGTTAGGGCTCAGTAACTTTAGTTTTGAAAGCAAAGGTTCTCCTGTGAGATAAATAGTTTATAGAGACATTTTTCCAACAGGAGAAGCCCTCACTGACATGGAAAGAGCAGAACCTCCACCTGTCTGCTGTTCAAGATTCACTTTATTGTCATTCAGCTATTTACCAACAGGTACACAGCAGAATGAAATTACATTGCATTTGACCTGGCATCAGAGAGCAACGGTAATTTTTAAAAATGGTATTTAATAAATACATTAATAATCAAAGAGTTGCTATAATCTCCCTGCCTTAGTATAGTAGTAAATCACATTCACAGGGCACTTCAAACATGGCCCAACATAGTGCCATCATGACATCAATCTAGGGACATTATCAGTCAGCTGTATGATCTCACACACACCTCCCTTACCATTTGTCTGAATGGCAGCAGAGATGTTCTCACTAAGGCACTTGTAGACGTTGAGCATGTCAAGGTAAATCCGTCCAAGCTGGATGACAAAGGGGTGTCCTACAGCCTTACAGGCTCTGACGTTAGTCTTCAGGATGCTGCCCAGCTGTTTCACAGTCTCTGGGTCCTTCAGGATGTCCACATTCTGAGGGTGGAGAGATACAGCAGGTTAAATATTAGGATTAGTTGTTCAATACATGGCAGTGTAGCTATGTCTCACCTTAGTGGCCTGTTGGATGATGCTGTCCCACACTTGATTGGGCAGCAGCATATATTTCTCTATCAGGTGCTCCTGAACAGCCTGGTCTGTCTGGGCCCCAATCATATAACCTACTGCTTCATAGAATGTGTGCACCTGGACACAAACAGGATTGGGCAGAAGAAGAATTCATGTGTTCAAGTGGAATTATGGACTAGCTGAGTCTTTTTTGTTCTCCAGCTGAGTGTAACAAATGTGTGTATTATTGCACTGACCTGTTGTGGCTGGAGGTCACAGATGATGGTGTTGATGTTGTTGAGGATCTCATCGATGAAGGGCATCACTTCTCCCACCTGCACTTGGATGAAGTGGCGTCGACACTTCTGGGCTATCTTGATGAATGTGTCACAGGCCATGTCTTGAACTCCATCATGGGTCTCTGATGAGAAAGACAAACAGAGTTACTTCAACATAATATCACAATATGATATTTATCATTTCAACACTTTCAATTCAACATGCCAATTTAAAGTGTTGTGTGGAGGATTTTAATATTCTCACCATGCATGAACTCAAAGAGCTTGTTGACCACAGTTTTCAGGAACTTCCAGTGGGCTCTAAGGAAGCGTGGATACTGGCCAACGATGTACATTATGTTGGAGGCTATGATAGCCTTGTTGTCCTTTCCTCTTTTCTGCTCACACAGACCCAGCAGATCCTGAAACAATCACAAGATGGTTCAGCTGCACACACAGAAGCAAGGCTCAGAAATTCTATTCATTAATTTATCAAGAACCTAAGAGTGAAACACACTGTGAACATTTGATAACCTCTTCATTAACCCTGTTTAACTTCTGACTGCAGTAACAAGGTCATGTAGCTGCTCAGATTTTACAGTATATCACAGAAGTGAATACACCCCCTCACATTTTGTAAATATTTAAGAATATCTTTTCATGTGACAACGATGAAGAAATGACACTTGGCTACAATGTAAAGTAGTGAGTCTACAGCTTGTATAACAGTGTAAATGTGCTGTCCCCTCAAAATAACGCAACACACAGTCAATATCTAAACTGCTGGCAACAAAAGTGAGTACACCCATAAGTGATAATGGCCAAATGGGGCCCAAGTAGCTGTTTTCCCTCCCTGGTGTCATGTGACTCGTTAGTGGTACAAGGTCTCAGGTGTGAAGGGGGAGCAGGTATGTTAAATCTGGCGTTATCGCTCTCATTCTCTCATACTGGTCACTGGAAGTTCAACATGGCACCTCATGGCAATGAACTCTCAGGATCTGAAAAAACAAATTGTTTCTCTACATAAAGATGGCCTAGGGTATAAGAAGTTTACCAAGACCCTGAAACTGAGCTGCAGCACGGTGGCCAAGACCATACAGTGGTTTAACAGGACAGGTTTCACTCAGAACAACAGGCCTCGCCATGGTCGACCAAAGAAGTTGAGTGCTCGTGATCAGCGTCATATCCAGAGGTTGGCTTTGGAAAATACAGTGGAGCAAATAAGTATTTGATACAGTGCTGATTTTTCAAGTTCTCCCACTTACAGAGAACGGACAGTTCTGTCATTTTCATCATAGGTACACCTCAACTGTGAGAGACAGAATCTACAAAAAAATTCCAGTAAATCACATTGTTAGATTTTTAAATAATTTATTTCCATTTTTATTGCATGAAATAAGTATTTGATCACCTACCAACCAGCAAGAATTCTGGCTCTCACAGATCTGTTAGTTTGTCTTTAAGAAGCCCTCCTATCCTCCACTCATTGCCTGTATTGATTGCACCTGTTTGAACTTGTTACCTGTATAAAAGACACCTGTCCACACACTCAATCTATCAGACTCCAACTTCTCCACTATGGGCAAGACCAAAGAGCTGTCTAAGGACACTAGGGACAAAATTGTAGACCTGCACAAGGCTGGGATGGGCTACAGGACAATAGGCAAACAGCTTGGTGAGAAGGCAACAACTGTTGGAAAGGTGAGGGATTACCTTAGAACTACATGGGAGGACCTGTCAATGACCTGAAGAGAGCTGGGACCACAGTCTTAGCAGTTACCATTAGTAACACACTACACCGTAATGGCTTAAAATCCTGCAGCGCACGCAAAGTCCCTCTGCTCAAGCCAGCACATGTCCAGGCCCATCTGAAGTTTGCCAAAGACCATCCGGATGATCCAGAGGAGGCATGGGAGAAAGTCATGTGGTCAGATGAGACCAAAATAGAACTTTTTGGTATAAACGCCACTTGCCGTGTTTGGAGGAAGAAGAAGGATGAGTACAATCCCAAGAACACCATCCCAACCGTGAAGCATGGGTGTGGAAACGTCATGCTCTGGGGGTGCTTTTCTGCAAAGGGGACAGGAGGACTGCACCACATTAAGGAGAGGATGAATGGGGCCATTTATTGTGAGATTTTGAGCAAC